TTCATCGAATAAAAAAAAGTCAATTGTTGTTAAAACTTGAGCTAAGTTAAAAATTATCTGAAGAGACCAACAATTGAAGCAACTAAAAGTAAAACTTGTTTGAAATTGTACTATTTTATACATGCATTTATTCTTTTCACAAGTCTTCATTTTAACCGAAACTCCTAAAACATTTATTATGTTCCTTTTATTTTAGAGAGTCGTTTTTACTCCGGCAGCTTAAAACTAGTCAACAGGCCGTAATATACTAATCAAACACAGCCAGTAAATTTTAACTTAGGGTTCAAACCTCGATGATTTCTTAGTATTTTTATTTCATATTTTACCATTTTTTAGATTTTTATATAAAATATATCATTATTATAACATTATATAACAATTTATTACAATGATTTCTGATGTTTTTAACTTGAAATAAATAAATACATTAATTATAGTTCGACTAATTATAGATATTATAGTAGTTATCTCCCTTGACTATAGATATTACACCACCCCATATAAATACTATAAATAGAAAGGAAAGTAGATCTATGCCGGGGTGAGCCGTGGTTCTGTGGATTGTTCACTGAAATCTTACTTCCAATGAGACTAAAGCACTTGGATCTATTCTCGGTAGAAAGATGGAAATTGGACTATCGAGAATACCACAGTACTAACTCGATACTCATCCTTTTATAATCCTGATTGATATTTTTCACTTTTAAAATCTCGTATTTCAATTTACTTATATTTTCTAATACATTCTTTCCCTTCATCGAATAAAAAAAAGTCAATTGTTGTTAAAACTTGAGCTAAGTTAAAAATTATCTGAAGAGACCAACAGTTGAAGCAACTAAAAGTAAAACTTGTTTGAAATTGTACTATTTTATACATGCATTTATTCTTTTCACAAATCTTCATTTTAACCGAAACTCCTAAAACATTTATTATGTTCCTTTTATTTTAGAGAGTCGTTTTTACTCCGGCAGCTTAAAACTAGTCAACAAACCGTAATATACTAATCAAACACAGCCAGTAAATTTTAACTTAGGGTTCAAACCTCGATGATTTCTTAGTATTTTTATTTCATATTTTACCATTTTTTAGATTTTTATATAAAATATATCATTATTATAACATTATATAACAATTTATTACAATGATTTCTGATGTTTTTAACTTGAAATAAATAAATACATTAATTATAGTTCGACTAATTATAGATATTATAGTAGTTATCTCCCTTGACTATAGATATTACACCACCCCATATAAATACTATAAATAGAAAGGAAAGTAGATCTATGCCGGAGTATTTCTTACGGGCAAGCGGTCATTGATCTATTGAGAGAGCATCAGCTCGATCAAGTAACGATCCTTGAACGCCGCCTACCGGCTACTCCGTTTTGGAAGGATACCAACCCGACAGTCAACACCCAGCTGATCCAGAGTACCAACAAGCACGAGAACCCAGTGGGAGCAAGAGCTCACGCTCTTGATCTCATTGATTCCGTGTACGCCGACCATTTGAAGATCTACACCGATGGTTCCAAGAGTAGTACCGC